TATTGGCATCACTACAAGTCTATAGTTTATTCTTTAAAAGGATATGTTGTATACTCCTTGTAGCACCACATAAGACTGGATATAACGCGCTTTGCATTCTTAAACATACAAAATAATTTAGTCAAGAAAGGGATGTTTTGTACTATGTAGTAATATATATATTAGGTTGATCATGAGGCTGAGAAGAGCACTTTATTGAAAAGTTGATAAATTTCAAGGATTTGATATTTGATGGCGATTACTAAAGTAATATTTGACCAGCAAACACTACCACTGATGTTAGTTTGATATTGTGATCAATAAGGTTTAAGAAGTAATTTATTAGAGTTAATTCCACCAGAGGTCTTTTGTCTGTTGTGATAATTTTAAATTTAATTTAGTCACAGACTATTACTTTTGTTATTTAACATCCCAAACTATTATTTTTTTTAGACACTTTTAGACTTTTAGTCATTCTCATAACTTTTCTTATTTTTAGTAAGGTTATTTTTGTATTTTCATATTTTCATATTTTTCTTTTGTTATTTTCTAATTTCAATCGGTTTAATTGGTTTAGGACCTTAGATAACCTCTGATTTTTAGTAATCATATTTTTCAACCGGTTTTTAGTAAAGTTCTAAACCAATTAAACCGGTTGAAACAGGAAAAATAACAAAAGAAAAATATGAGAATGACTAAAGTATTCAAAAAATAATAGTCCGAGATATTAAATGTAAAAAATGATAGTTTGTGATTACATTTGAAATTGCCACCAAAGAGTAAAGACAAGGGACCTTTGGAGAGTTAAATTATTTTATTATTACTTTTTTGGTGTAGAAGGGTAAATTGATTATAAGAAAAAATAATATCACAATATAAGTGATTAGTTTGGTGTATTAAGGCGTTGTTTGGTAACATATTTAGCTTATCAATTAATTTTGGCTTGTTTGACCACTATTAGCTGTTTGACTTAGTTAAATAATTTTGATTAATTAATTTTTTGTAACAGTTTATTGTTCCAAAACGCTAAAATTCAAAAAGCTTATCAAAGTAGTTTTTTTATTAGCTTTTTGAAAAAGTCATTTTACATGTAATCAGCTATCAGAGTATCAGCTAATAGCTATGAGTAATAGTGTAATACTTGTGTGAGACCGTCTCACGGGTGTCAATCCGTGAGACGGGTCAGATCTTTGATTAATGGGTCGGATCTCTAACCCGTCACACGGATTGAGACACGTGAGACAGTCTCATACAAGTTTTTGCCAACAGCTAATTTACCAAACATCTTTCTACAATCAGCTAATGCTATCAACTAGTCAAACCAATTATCCCAATCAACTAACAGCTATTTACCAAACACCCCCTTAATAAAAACGCTCCAAATTAAAATGGGTGACCGAGTAGGTAGAATATGATTTTCATACTAAGATGGTCACAAATTTGATTCTTCATAGTGTATACCCTCACGTAGTCCTTACTTAGGCTGTTAGGAATTAATTACCAAAATAACACATCTCTCACCACTAGAAAAAAAAATAAGCAAGCACATAAACAAACGAGTAGCAATTAAATCCAAATAAAATCACCAAGTCCAAATATTGTCATCAAAACATAAAACACTAGTTCAAAGTTCTAAAAAGGAAAAAGAATAATCATATGAGCAATTGCAGTGATCAGTTGATTCATCATATCACATTAAAAAATAGATGAGATATTACAGCTCATTTACTGCCTTGAAATTTATTCTGTTTTCATGAATAGCCAAATGTATTCACCTATAAATTGATGTATCATCTTTCATTGTAAATCATCAAAATATATACAATTATTCTTTTTCAATGCTTCTTATTATGGTATCAGAGCCATATTTGCCTTCCCAAGACATTTTGGGGCTGTTTTAAATTATTTTAAATAGCCCTCCCCCCATTTTCTACCAATTTTAGAAATAACTCGGGCTCTTCTGATTGAGTCACGAGTTCCTAAATATTTTTGGCCTAAAGCTATCGCCACAGCCACATACCTTATCAATTGACTCCCAATCAACATCCTCAAACTAAAAACTCCATTACAAACTCTATCAGAATTTACCAAATTACCCCTACTATTACTCTTCAACCATGAATCTTTGGTTGTTCTGTTTTTGTCCGCATACCTAAAACGAATCGAACCAAACTTGACCCTTGTGCAGAGAAGCGTGTATTAATTGGTTATGGAGTGAACCAAAAAGGTTACAAATGTTATAATCCAAAAACACGTCAAATGTTCACCACCATGAACTGTGACTTTTTTGAAACTACAACTCCCAACACAGTGGTCAGGGGGAGAAGGGATGCTTAGACACACTGAGTTGGTTGAAATATGTTTCATCACTAGAGGAGATTAATCATAGTACCAAAGATGAGTCACTTGATACTCCCACACAATCTGCGGAACCAATCGTTAGTGTCATTGAAAATGCTCCTCCCAACCTGATGCCTGAGGTAAGTAATACTTACTCTTCTGATACTCACTCTTCTAATACTCACTCCCCTGAACATACTAGATCTTCTGGAAATCCATTTATTGCTTATGACCTTGGTGAGAAAACAATAGAACAGGTTGAACCAGTACGGGAGGAAATAGTAGAGCAGGGTGAACCACCACAAGAAGAAACACGAGAAAGATCGATATGTGTTACCTCCTAGGGCAAACAGGAGAATTCCACCTAAACGGTACTCTCCAGAAAAAGAGACTCGAGGATCAAAGTATCCGGTGACCAACATAGCCAAAGGAAACTTGTCTGAAGAAGCTATGTCTTTTGTTTCATCACTATATTATGAAGAAACTCCAGCTACTGTGAAACAAGCCTTGCAATCAAAGAACTGGAAAGATGCAATGGAAACGGAGATGGACACATGGGAAAACTATGCACTTCTGTTAAGAAAAAAACCGGTGGGATGTCAATGGGTTTTTACAATCAAACATAAACCAGATGGGACTATTGAAAGGTATAATGCTCAGTTAGTAGCTAAAGGTTACACTCAGACATATGGGATTGATTACTCAGTGACTTTCTTCCCAGTAGCCAAGATTGACACGTTCAAGGTTCTTTTCTCGATAGCTGCAAATGAAGGATGACCACTTCATCAGTTTGATGTAAAGAACGCTTTCTTGCATGGAGAATTAAAAGAAGAAGTATATATGGAAGCACCTTTTGATTCGTAGGAGATTTCAAGATAGGTGAAGTTTACCAGTTAAAGAAATCTCTTTATGGGCAGTCTCCTCGAGCTTGGTTTGGCAGATTTACTCTAGCAATGAGGAGATATGGATCATACTCTGTTTCTCAAACGAAGAGGTAGTCTTGTAACCTGTCTGATTATATATGTTGATGACATGATCATTATAGGAAACGATAAGGAGGAAATGATAGAATTAAAGAAGAATTTGTTTACAGAATTTGAGATGAAGGACTTGGGAAGACTTAAGTACTTTCTTGGAATAGAAGTACTAAGATCTAAATAAGGGATCTTTATCTGTCAGAAAAAATATGTTCTAGACCTATTAGCCGAAACAAGAATGATTGATTGCAAACCTGCGGATACCCCAATGATGGTGAATCATAGGCTTCAAATGGTGGAAGGAGCCGATATAGCATACGCATACGCAGTGGAAAAACTAATTTATGTCTCACATACTCGCCCAGACATAGCATACGCAGTAGGTGTGGTTAGTCAATTCATGCATCAACCCCAAGTAACACACATGGAAGCAGTGTGGAGAATTATTAGATATCTCAAGGGAACAGCTGGCCATGGAGTTCTCTTAAAAAAAAAACGGGCATATGAAAATCCTAGGGTATACAGATGCAGACTGGCAGGAGATAAAGGAGACCGAAGATCAACATTAGGATATTTTACCCTGGTGGGTGGAAATCTGGTTACGTGGAGAAGCAAAAAAACAAAAAGTGGTTGCTCTATCTAGTGCAGAAGCTGAGTTCCGAGGAGTGGCACGAGGCATAGCAGAAATATTATGGATACGTAAACTTCTAACTGAGATCGGTTTCCCCCCAACTGAAACTATCAAGATTATGTGTGATAATGAGGCATCAATCCAAATCTCAGAAAACCCAGTACAGCATGATCGTACAAAGCATGTAGAGGTTGATAGACACTTCATCAAAGAGAAGCTGGAAGCCGGGATAATAGAGTTATCATTTGCTCGATCTGAAGACCAATTAGCAGATATATTGACAAAAGCAGTTAATGGGAGGATTTTCAACAACTGTCTGGACAAATTAAGTATCGGGAATCCCACTACTCAACTTGAGGGGGAGTGTTAAAAAGGAAAAAGAATAATCATATGAGCAATTGCAGGGATCAATTGATTCATCATATCCCGATAAAAAATAGATGAGATATTACAATTCATTTACAGCTTTGAAATTTATTCTGTTTCCTTGAATAACCAAATGTATTCACCTATAAATTCCTATATCATCTTTCATTGTAAATCATCAAAATATATACAATTCTTCTTTTTCAATGCTTCTTATTACAAAGTACTAGCAATCAAATAAGATATGCATGAAACCAAGCATTCAATGTCATGACACACATCCTTACCGCAGTTTCAAAATTTCAAATTTCCTAGTCAATTATATTTCCTACTTCCCAAAAGTTCATAACCTAAGCTCTGATACTAACTTGTAACACCCCATTTCCAAAACAAAATGCAAGATAACTTTTACAAATTTATTTTTATTAATTTGAAAAAAAGTATTTATAATTGCGGAAGCCAAAAACAAAATGAGGGGAAAGCTTGATAAAAACTTGATGATGACCGGAGAAGAAGACTATGTTGATGAAGTAAAAGAAGAAGACATAATTTTTTTTTATTGAAAAGTAATAAATGTTATCATATATATGTATTTATTTATCTATTTATTTATTTATTAGGTTTAGGAATCTAGTAGGCTTAATATAATATTTAAAAGTAATGTGGGATTTTTTTTTTTTTTTTTGAAAACCAAAGAAAACCATATATTAATCAACCAAAATGTCTTTACAAACTGAATCTGAGAGAAAAGAAGGGATAAAATCAAAACACTCAACGCTTTCCTCCTCAGAAGTACATAAAGCTTGCCTTGTTAGAACATGAGCATGCCTATTCCCACTACGCTGAACGAATACAAATTTAACATAAGGAAGATGCTGCAAAAACAACTTTATCTCATGTATAACAGTCCCAAAAGGAGACTTATTCACGTCTTTCTCAATAGCATTTGTTGCCCATTGAGCATAACTTTCCAAGATCACCCGTTGACATCCCTTATCCTTAATCCAACTCAAAGCTTCTCGGGCCCCTATCGCCTCCACTTCCTTCACCGAGAATAGCCCCGGGATAGAAAACATAACCACACTCATCACAATTCTCGCATCGTCTCTAACAATCCAACCAAACCCCATTCTACAATTTTCATGGTCCAAGGCGATGTCAATATTCAACTTAAGGAAGGACACCAGCGGGGTACTCCACACGGCATTCTGTCGAGGCAGTCTAGGAGGAGGGCCGAGTAACAGCACAACAATTAACATTTTTCCAACACCTCCTCAGACAAAGCATTCCACATCTCTCCCACCCACACTGGAATTGAATCAACATAATCCATCGTCCAGCCATTGTTCACCAACCGCCAACAAACATGAACAAATGGACATCACTCTCATTTTCTACCCCACACAATGAGTAAACAGGATCACAACTAACATGTTTTACAAGCAAAGCGTCCTTAGTCAGGAGCCTCATGGTACACAAATTCCAGAAAAAACATTTGATTTTCGGAGGTATATTTAATTTCCACATCCTTGATTTCCACATCCTTGCCCACTCGAGACCCGCCACACTCTCCCCCATTTCCCTAGCCACTCAATATGCACTCTTCACCGAATATACTATACCCCACACATAGAAGGGATAGGTAAGCTTATAATTAGTTGGTAATCTCTATGAGAAAAAAGATCTCGTACCAAATTATAATCCCAATTTAGTGTATTAGGATAGAAAAGGGAACTCACATACGGATTATTCAAATAACCAAGCTCAGGAGTATCCACATTGGACAATTAAAATGACTTGTTTATTATTTTGAAGGATTTGGAGTGTTGTTGTTGTTGGATAAGAAATCAATTTGGTTATGGTAGTTGATGGTATGGTTGATGTGTAACTGTCTTAAACATAGTTTGAACTATATTAATTTCCCTAACCACCTCATCAAAAGGAGTTCGTTATAATTACTATAACTTTTTATCCATGAAATTATAAATAGATGTCAATTTACATGTGCGACGGATGAAATATTATCATTTTACTTTATTCTCGATAGTGTTTGCAACACTTAGTACGCATTGAATATGTTGGTCCCGAGTTAGGTAAAAGTCTAGAGAGGGGAAGGGGGTTGAATATATTTTTAAGAATTTTAACTTGAAAAATGGATTTTAAGCAAAGAGCATATGACCAACTCGAAGGCTAGATGATAGGCAATGAAAGCTAAAGATTGTAGCGTGTTTTGGAAAGGAAACAACTTGAACGTAAAAATGTGCTCTGTGTGTGTTAACTGTTCGATCAGCAGATAAGCAAAAACTGCAAGATGTGAAGTGTTGAAAAGTAAAAGTAGAGATGTAGAGATTGTTATAGTGGTTCGACAATAGCATACTCCACTCTTCTCCTTAAACATCCAAGGAGATTATACTAATATTTTATGCACAAATATAGTGGAAGATCCACACAGTATCCACAAAGCACTGTTGACTAAGGTTGGTGTTTCTTCGACCAGATGTCCCCTCCGCTCTTCAACACGGTCAACCACCAAGTCACCTTGAGTGAAATATTCCAAATTTGGAAGAAGACAACGATGGACTTCCTTCTTCCAGCCTAGAAGAAGGTTGGGGCCTTCTTCCACGTGTGCAGTGATAGCGAGCGGTGGTCAATCAGGATGGCGAACGACGAATAAAATTTAGGAGGTTTTTTTTTTAAAAAAAAATTTTAATTTATGATGATTATTATTATTAATTAAAAATTAAATATAATATAATATAATATAATATATTATATTATTTTTTAAAAAATATGTGGAAGCCACATCAACTCGCCAAATCAGCTTGAAAAATCCAATAATAAAGTAGTTGACCGGAAGGCAATCTTCAAAATAGTGCTAATTATACTTTTTTTTGTAAGTTTGATGTTTTGATTAAAGCTTTTTGAAGTTGAAGGGCCTAATTGCACAAATCAATATAGTTTGAGGGTATTTGACCCTTACTTCTGACCATTCTGCGTTGTTCTTGGATATCTATGAACCGCAAATGAGGGTGGGGAGAAGTGGTTTTAAGTTTGAGAATGCATGGCTACTGGATGCGGGGTGTGGTGAGGTAGTGAGGGAGGCGTGGGAGGAGTCTAGGGATATGGGTTTACATGAGAAACTGGCTTGGTGTGGCTCAAGGTTGGCTGGATGGGGTGGGGACAGATGTCACCGCTTTGGTAAACATATTGAGGCTATCCGCAGGGAGATGAGATCACTGCATAGTCGTACGGGCGTGAGGGAGTTGGAGGTGTTTAATAAGTTGAATGATGAGTTGCAACGTTTGTTAAAACAAGAATATGCTTATTGGTGACAGAGAGCAAAACAACATTGGTTGAGGAAACTCGTTATATTCATCTCTCAACCTCTAATAGAAAGAGGGAAAATTGGCTTATTAAACTTAGGAATGAGGAGGGTGGCTGGGCCGGTGAAAGGAAAGGAGTTCGGTCCTTTGGTGTTTGACTATTATAAGGGTATTTTTCAGTCGAACGACTGCCAAGGTAACATTTTCTTTGATAGCTTACAGCCACGCATCACCAGGGACATGAATGACGAACTTCTACGGTCCTTTAGGGCAGAGGAAGTTCGGGAAGCTGTTTTTGCAATGCTCCCAAATAAGGCTCCTAGGCCAGATGGAATGAATCCAGGATTTTATCAGAATTTTTGGGGAGTGGTGGGTGCTGATGTAACTAGATGTGTCCTCAATTGCCTCGAAACGGGGTGTTTCCCTGCTAATCTAAATGATGCAAATGTTGTGTTAGTGTCCAAAAAAAAAAAACGTTCCGGAATTGGTTTATGATCTTAGACCAATTTCCTTGTGCAACGTGGTTTACATAGTTATGGAAAAAATGATTGCGAATCATATGAATGGCTTGTTAAAAAAATGTTTTCTCCGAATCTCAAAGTGCCTTTCTTCCTGGCATGAGATCACTGACAATATTTTGGTGGCAGCTAAGGTAGGTCATTTTTTGCGTAGGAAGACTTCTAGGGAAGTGGGTTGGGCAACTTTGAAAATAGATATAGCAAATGCGTATGATAGGATGGAATGAGAGTTTCTCAGACGTATGTTGTTAGGGTTGGGGTTTGTGGATAAATGGGTAAACCTTATAGTGTTATGTGTCACTTCAGTCAAGTATAACATTTTGGTTAATGGGGGTGTAGCTGGAGTGGTCGTTCCTTCTAGGGGTTTGAGACATGGTGACCCTTTATCTCCCTATTTGTTTATCATATGTGCTGAAAGTTTATCTTTATTATTGCAACAGGCTCAGAGCAGAGGCAAAATTCATGATTGTAGAGTGGCCCGCGAGACTCCCCTAGTTTCTCATTTGTTCTTCGATGATGATAGTCTGTTGTTTTTTAAAAGCAAACAGATCATACAAGAGGTTACTGTGGTGAAGGGGTGTTTGGAGGAATATGAGAGTCTGTCAGGACAGTTGGTAAACTTTGATAAATCCAACATTTGTTTCAGTAGGAACACAATGCATGATATAAGGAGAGAAGTGGCATACTATTGTTTTTGTGTGATATTATGAGTATATAATGCAATAACTATAAATCAACGATAAATACACATCAATTTCCAATTTATAAAGGGTTAATAATAATAATAATAATAATAATAATAATAATAATAATAATAATAATAATAATAATAATAATAATAATAAAATACAACAGTTTTAAATATTGGGGTTGAGTTTTGGTACGCTTGACAATACTTAAATACAATACCATCCAAAATAAATGGAAAAAAATAATCTCTTTATTGAATGACTAAAATACCCCACCTTAATGGTTGCTTTTGTATATGAACGTTTTACCTGAAACGTATAATATTTTTAGTAAAAATGTCTCTTATTGACTTTGAACACGTACTTAACCAAAACTTCTTCCATTTAATTCATTCATGAGTCATCAATACTAGCTAGTTCCTTTTTTTTTTTTTTTTTTTTTTTTTTTCAGTTATCAAGATATTACTGGGAATAAGTATATTTTCTGAAATAAGAAGCAAGATTTAAGTGTTATTGTCAGAAATCCTACAGTTATGGGTTGAAATGGTGGAAGTTAATTATCCCTTAAGAAAAAAGTTAAAAAGAATGTGAAACAAAAATTGATGGACGTGCTGGTTCTTTAATGGTTGCTGCAAGACTGTAACGCAACACTGCTAAAGGTGTATTCCTTCCTGGTCTCCAAAACTAACATTAATCTTAAAATTATGTTTTTTTTTTCCCTTAAATAATTTTGAAACTACTAGGAAGCTTAGTTAATGATTCTGAACACGTTATAATCATTCTTCCTAGGACTTTGATTCATTCTACTACACCTGAATCTCTTCTCTCTCCCTATATATATGCATGTATAATCCACATTTTGCTTAATAAGCACTACGTACTAATATAAGTAGCATTTATTTGTGTTATATAATTTATAAATAAACTACCATATGGAACCAAACACTTATAATGTGACAAACGTTGTTGTTGGGGGCGTCCCGTCACCGTACCGGGGCGTGAGGAAGCGGAAGTGGGGGAAATGGGTGTCGGAGATTCGCGAGACGGGAAAGAAAACGAGAATTTGGTTAGGGAGTTTTGAGACGGCTGAAATGGCGGCCGTGGCGTACGACACGGCGGCGTTTTATTTAAGGGGCACGTCGGCGCGGCTAAATTTCCCGCAGTGGGCCCGGGCGCTCCCCAGGCCGAGGACCTCCGGCGCCGACGACATTCGCGCGGCGGCGCGCGAGGCGGCGCTGTTGCTTAAGGGGGCGATGGGATTGGAGGGGCAGCGAGAGGATAATGCTGCGCCGCTGCGGGCAGGGAGTTCTAGTGGTGCTAGTAACGTTCCTGCGGCGGCGCCGGTGAATGTGGGGTTGTCGGAGAGTGAAATCCAAGCCATTAACGACTTCCCGTTGGATTCGTCGGAAATGTGGTCGGAGATGGCGGCAGGGTTTCATGTTATGGGAGATGATCAGTCCATGGTTTTGGCTACTAGTGAGTATGAGGAGACTAACTATGAAGATCAAATAGATGATTCTCTTTGGGATCTTTAGAATCACTTCAAAGGTTTTGTTTTGTGAAATGGGTTTACTATGCCACTTGCAGATTTTGTAGTTGACATTTAGCTGTCACTACCATTTGCTTTTAGAGAGTCAACTTATTTGTATTACACTTATGCTTCATTGTATGATACAAAAATATCAGTTTTACTTAATTATTCCATTGTAATTGATAGTTATTCATGATCTAAACTTAGTGCTAGATTGTGGGTAATGACACAATATCAGCCATGACAGGCACAGTATGGGAGTTACATCTAATGCGGTGTGCTCCTTGTGATTAATTACTAGTAGACACGGGTCCATCTACTTAATAGGTAGGTCACTGAGTCACCATAATTTAACCCTTCATTCTTGTTAAGCCAGGGTCTATGCACCTTGGGAGCTAAGAAATTTTGCATTTTGTAGGCAAGTTTTTAAATTCTTAGTCCAGGGGATTTGGTCCCTAAAATTGTGAGTTGATGCCCGATTTGGTCTTTCGACTATTATGATTTCACCGTTTTGGCCATCAACTTCCAAACTTGCTGAACTTCATCCATAGTTATGCAATTTTTACCTAAAGTAATCCTTTGTCCAAACCAAAATAGTCCTAATTAGGACCATCCATTTTGGTTAACAATTGCATAGTTGAATTATTAGGACCATCCATTTTGGTTAACAATTATTGTATAATTGGGATGGAATTGATGAGCATGTCTGAAAGTCGATGATCAAAGTGGTGAAATTTTAATAGTCGAGGTACCAAATCGAAACTCTTACATCAATAATGAATTGGAAATTTTTTACATCATAAAAAATTTAAGAACTAAATTTTTACTACAAATAAGTAATTATATTAAGCCATGACCACAACTGAGTAATTAAATTTAAGTCTATCAAAATTAAGAAATTAAAAGATGAGTTTTTAATAATCGAATTTGGTGATCATCCGCATTTTATTTGTATTGGGGTTAAAAGTATGATTGCTAATCACCAAATAAAGCATGCATGTGACAATAGTAAAACTATTATTTCCAGTATGATTGCAAGTTAGTCCCATTATTTGGCAAATGTTTTTGGTAGGGAACCTCGAAGCCAGTAGCACAAACTAGAAGTGTGGTTGCAAAAAGAGTGCAATCAACCATAGTCCACTTTTTCTTCGAATCCCCAACTCTAAGGATCCTCACACTCCGAGCCGACTGAACATTTAGAGAATGTAAATCATGGTGACTCAATGATTTAGTAGACATGGTTAGATATCAGTACGCACAAGGAATCTGTCCACTTTAAACCTTAATTATACTTTTTAATTAGGTAGACCACTGCCATTTACACTATATATCAATAACGTAACGTATCAAATACTTTATAAGAAAGTGTTAAATTCATCTCTAATTCAGGTAAATATAGTGCAATTGAAGTTCCTAACATTTGTTTTTTTTTTAAAAAATGAATTGAATCCCCTTAAACAATATAATTAATAAAATGGTGCAATTGAGTCCTAATATTAACTATTCGATAGATTAAAATTGTTTTGACGTTGACTAACATTCTACACATGCTTCTTTTCAATAATTTGACAGATGTAATGGAGAATTTCAAACAAATTTTTAAAAAGGTGTCAAATAGAGACAATCGTTTATGTTAGACGGAGACAATTGAAGGATTAGATCCAGCATCGTCTAGTGTTAAATATTATAAGATATAAAATAATTGAATTGTTTTTGAAAGATAACAATGAATGTCAATGTTGAGTATATGTGTAATCCAACTATCAGCTTAAGGTTTTAATTGAGATGGAACTCATGCTTCAATTTGGTATCAGAGTCAGACCAAAAGTTTTCGCGCCACCTGATAAAAAAAGAGCGAGAGGAGAGAGACGTAATTTTTAGTTGAAATGGAGCACATGCTTCAATTGTCAAAATCTTTCTTGAATAAGTCTAGATGTGAACTCTATGTCAAAAGTGACCAATGACAAGAAGGCTAAGATCTAGACCGTTTTAGAACAATCATGGTTGCTCTAATTCATTTGTTAAATTATCAACAAAACAAAAAAAAGTATTACATGTGAAAACTTAGACAGCAATAAAATATTTAACATTAGAATTTAATTATACTATTTTACCAATTTATGGAAGAGTTAATTGGAGGGGTTTTAAAATAAAAATAAAATTACAGATTAATTTGATAATTTCTTTAACATTCTCCCATGTATCGTGAGGCATCCGGCTAATCTCAATAACAAACATATATACATTATGGAATCAAGATACGGTTCAAATATGGATTATGTTTTCCGTGCGGTTCGTGCGAATTTACCATTAGGTATATAAAAATGCACTACACAGATATTAGAAATGCATCACAGTAAAATATATCAATGCACCATACACCAAAAAAAAAAAAAAAATGCACCACGTCGCACCATATCTAATAGTGTATTTTTAAACAATTTATAATACATCTATGTGTACCTAATAGTGAGTGACTGCACAATCTCACGGAAAGTAGTATCCGCACGGAAACATGAATCAATATATTCATGTTGGCGCATACACATTATTAAGTATATATGTTGGATTGGGTAGTGGTAGGGACACGGATTAATGGTAGTAATGAACATTGCCAATTGTGTGGTCAAATATTGAGTGACCAATTTAGTTCTATCCACCTTCACTACATGCGTGCTACTATCTTTTTATTAGTGGTTTCCACAGTTAGCAACAATAATCACACCACAAAATGCACGCTTTCGATTTCCAATTCCTCCTGAATAGTTGGGGTGTTAGATATCCCAAGATATGTAATTATAATTAATGGACTGGTCTAGAATGAGATTGATGAAATAATAATGTATATAGAGTACGTTGGTAGGTTGATTCAATGGTAGAGGTTGTGAAGTCATGAAGTTTGGAGAAGAGGATTTGGAGTCGGTGGTGGAGTTAGAAATTTCATATTTAGTGGGGTAAAATGTAATTTAAAACACTATAAAAAGTAAAGCGAAGGAATCTCACGGATCGATGATTACAAGATTAGTTTTTTCAATTTTCTTGGACTGTCAACGTATATAGCATCAATCAAGGACGGATTCAAAAGGGAAGGAGGGGGGGGGGGGGGGGGGGGGAGGGGAATTGGGTATAATCCCATTTTTTACCAGAACTCATCCGTGTGTGTGTGTTAACCAGACTTGACTGAAGCTATTTTTAATTCAATTTTTCACAATATATTTATTAATATTGCATAAAATCTATATATTTAGAAACTACATTAAAAGTATTATTGTATTAAACATGAAAAATTAAATTTAAAATATTAAAGAAAATAAACAAAGAAAACATAATTGATTTGACCAATGAATAATAAATAACAGAAATAAAATAGGACAAAGGGAAGTAGTAACTTGTAAATAAAAATGGAATGTATGTTAGTATGTAATAGAAATGACTAAATCTTTAAGTAGCTTAGTTTGTTGTTCCTCAAGTATATATTTGAACCATATATCACTACTGGAAATTATGAAATTTCCGACCACCTGAAAGTGATCTTGAATCAAATTGATACCAAAAAGTGATCGAAAATAGCAACAAAAGTTTTTTCGGATACCAAAAGTGGTCGGAACAAGGCTTTCGACTTGATTTAAGATCACTTTCAGGTGGTCGAAAATTCCATAATTTCCAATAGTGAAATATTACCAGTATTTAATATTTTGCCATGAACACTTTTGAATTCATTTGAACTTCGCCCACTCAAAAATATTTCTGAATCTTCTCCTGACATCAACGATGATGTATATCATTAAAGATGAAAATTACATAGTTTCAAAAAAAAAAAAAATGAAAATTACAGACTTAGCTTCTACATACCTACACATTCTCATAATCAATATGTCTTGAAACACTGCTATAAGAGATATGGAGTATTTCAGTCATTAAAGATAAAAAGTAAAAGAAGAAGCTAGCCAATAACTTATATGGCTTCAAAGGATAACTAATGTCAGACAAAGACGATTGAACGAAGGGTATCGCAGATGAAGACCAATGATGACCATTAATTTTAACAAGCTCAAGTGCAGGACTAACCTTTATCAATCGAAGCTATGGTTGAATATTAGTATAATTGTGATTATTAATTGTTCACGTAATTATGTGACTACATGACATATTTGTTAACTATTACTATTATAATCTCTACCCAGTTGTTAATTACATTCATTTTATTTCTTCAAAATATGCATGCAAGGTGATGTAGTAAATACGGAGCTAACTACGAATACGTATGATACTATACGCTCGATCGGACCGGGCTTCAGCCCTTAAATGGTCTGCTTGTTGGTTTAAGATGCTGAGCTCGGTAGAAGGCGTGAGGTCAGAGGTTCCCGAGCTATGTAATGCTATAAAGGGTTAAAGTACCTATGAAGTCCTTGTACTATAGTGTTTTGTGCAATTTAGTTCTTGTACCTTTATTCTGTTCAATTTAGTCACTCTACTTTAAAAAATAGTAAAACTGAGGACAATAGTTAACGGTGTTAATATTACCGTTAACTTAGCTTACGTGGCAATGACATCATTGCTACCACATCATGATTTTTATATTCCAACACACATTATTTTATAAATTTTTAAAATTAATTATTTTTACCACTAATATATTACATTAATATGTCCAAAATAAATAATTACAAGCATGCTAACATCAAGTGTCCAAATCTCATTAGAAACATGATTGTAATTATTTATTTTGGACATACTATTTTAATTTATTGGTGGTAAAAATAATTAATTTTAAATATTTATAAAGTAATATATGAGTAGGAATATAAATATCATGATGTGACAATGATAATGTCAGCGTCACGTAACCTAAGTTCATGGTAATATTAACACTACTGTTAACTATTGTCCTTAATTGCACAACTCTTTAAAGTACAGAGATTAAATTGAACTAAATAAAGGTATAATGACTAAATTTAACAAAACATTATAGTACAGGGATCTCATAGGTACTTTGACCGCTGTAAACAAATTGCCAAAAGTCCTCTTCCTACAAGCTCTCGCGGGTATTTATGTGGGATTTGAAGGGACACATGCTGAGCATGAGCGCCACGTGCCTTCCATGCACTCGGTAATCGGGTCGGTTGAGGAGAGACGCACACGTGTAAGGTCATATT